CTACGCAGAGGACTGTTTCTTGCTGTTACTCAAGCTACAGGGATCTCTACAACTCTTACCAAAACGTGGCTCTTGTATTGTGCACGACATTTACACCCAAGTGGTTATTCCGACAGGGAACGTGTGTATACTTGAAGCCTGCATATATTATAAAGATCTCATACCAAGAGCATGTGGGTGTGTGTTTAGCACATACGTACCTTGTGTATGTGAGGTCAGATATGTATATATTATATAGTGTAACTATATATGTGTATATATATGATATACTTTTTATTTACATTTGGTTACAATTTAAACACTTGTCGTAAATATTTCAGACACTGGAATAATTCAGGTCTATTCCCCTGTTGCCGTAGTGTGCTCTGCGCTGGCCAGTGAGAGATTAAAATTTATTTCCATTGTTTAACGGAAAATAATGAAGTGCATCTGAGTGGGTTCAGCGATGTCATGCGGGAAGCGTTCACTTTGGATGGGAGTCTCACTCCACCCAAGTGTGCAATGATGAAATCAGTTGGCACACAAAAGCAACACATTTTGTGACAAGAATGCTTGAGAAGGATAAGAGTACAGTGTGACAAGAGCCTTTTGGAATGAATTAAACTTGTCTCAAGAAAGAAAGAATTCTTTAAACTAGCATAATCCTGTAGGAGGGCAAGGTTTTCCTGCTATGTGCTGAATATAGTTTTATCAACAATTAGAGCTTGACATGCTCTTACCTAGACTGTGACAGCTGTACCTGTGAAAATTTAGGAACACATCCAGGGTCGGATTCTCAATAGCTGCAAATCACCGTGGCTGTGTGGCAGCTGAACGGAGTTAAGCTGATTTACACCAACTAATGGTCAAAACCTGAACGTTTCGACAAGGTGCATCTTCTTTCAGTAGTTAAAACACAGTTTGTTCTTTTTTTCCTAAAAGTTTGTGGTTTAAAGGCACAAATATTTCTGGATTTGTAGGACTTTGGATACTGTATTGTAAAGGGAAAACGAAGTGGGATTAATTAATATATAGTTAATTCCTCTAAGAATTCCTCTGCTGTTGGAGCCTGGCAACATAAGCCGTGGAGGCTATGGTTTAAAAACTGCTGCTTGATTCGGGGTCCTCAGGCTCAGAAGATGTTCAGGAGGCACCAAGCATGCGTAGGTCACACACCAGACGTGACATTAGGTGCTGTTTTCACCTAGTAGGAGTTTCCCGTTGGCTCAGTCAATGGAGACCTGTATTTTCGGAGCAGATGCGGATACGTTTGCGTGTGCGCAGTGCAGCAGATGGCTCTGAATCTGCATGCACGTATCAGAGGGCAAATTGCTGCGGTGCTCTGCAGCCTGCCCTCCTGGTTGGTGATAGAGACCTCTCTGCCATCAGCTACGCTGCAGTGCATCATAGGAAACTCCATTTAGGGCCATCTGCAGTAGCTGGTTCATTATACAGACAGGACTTTATACGGCCCTTAGGATGCTACGTTAAATGGAATTAATGGACAGAATGAAGACTGAAAATATTTTCTCCCCTTCTTGTTGGGGAGTAAACCCTTCAGGACGTGATGCCATTGTACAAACAGAACAGGGTTTTAGCTAAACTGAATAATTAATACTTAACAAGTTGAATTTCGAAGTAAATTGTTCACCTGCCTGCCTTTTCTTCCCTTTCTAAATATCTAGGTTGTGCTGTCAACAACGGTGAACGTTGATGGGCACGTACTGGCAGTGTCTGACAACATGTTTGTTCACAACAACTCCAAGCATGGACGGAGAGCGAGGAGGCTCGACCCGTCAGAAGGTAGGATATTTCTGTGAAGAACAGTACACAAATAAATGCAAAAACATATTACTCGTTCTTCAATTTCTAGTTGTTTTCAGGAGGGAAGGAGAGCTGAGGGGGAACTGCAGAACCTCAGGGGGGTTTAGAGAAGAGGCAGGAAAACAGCGTCTACTGCATGCAAAATATGATCCTCTTTACATCTAAGACACTGGCTCCCCCTTCCCCTCCCCCCAATTTATTAATTAGTTTGTACTGTAGAGATAAAAAACATAGAAACGCTAAGTATTATCTAAATTTCAGACTTCTTGTTCAGCTGGGGTAGATTTGATTTCAGGCAAACGAGGCAACCTGACATCTGAGTTAAACAGAACGTTGCAGCACAAGATGTGTATGAGAAAGTGTCACCGGTTCCTTAAACAAACTGTGCGAAGCGTAACAATGCACAGAAGGAACTGGCACTAATTGATTTGAGTTTATTTGGCTAAGCAAGACTCATGGCCATCCGCAGGGCGGGGTTTCGACTGTATTAAAGCAATTACAAACACTTGTATCTGTGAAGCTTCAAAAAGGTTGGCCCCTCCTCTCCCTCTTCCCGTACGCTCATTACCAACGCGTCCCACCTCCTCACAGACAGTACTCAGAATTCCCAGAAAATGCTATCGGTGTCTACTTTTCCCTCCCCTGCAGCTAGTGAAAGTGAGAAGAGCTAGTGATGTTAGTAGAAAAGACAAGCAAGGATATTATTTCATTATAATGTTTTGCTGCCCCACTTCTTAACTGTGCCCTGTATCAACCTAAAAGAAGAATTAATGAACTGGAAGAAAATGATTGAATCAGTAAAGAATTCAGAGTGGTGTTAATTCTCCCCCAGCGGGCAGTGAAATGGTAGAAGGAAAATCCCAGGATTCCTAGCCTAGGAAGCCATCCAGTTTTTCCTTGACTGATTGGATGTGATTGACTGGCTGTTCAAAGCAGTCTCATGTTTTTGGAGCACTGCCAAAGTTCCCCTCCACCTCTGACCCTGTCAACATTGGGAATGGAGTGATGGATTGACTTTGGTTATGGCCTGGAAACCATATTGGGTTCCTGATGGGATGTATAGTCCAGAGGCCTTGAACATATGGAAGAGAGGAGAAAAAAAAAATCTACTCTATAAAATCAAGAAAATTATTAGAAATTGTCTCCTGATAAGAATTGAAGGAAACGTTTGATATTCTCTTGTCTTTTTTTACTCATTGATAAACTTAATAAATCTTAGCCCACCTCTCTTTCCACAGGTTTAGCTTTTGTGTGATCGTATGCTAATGAGCGGAGGATTTTTTAAACAGCCTCTGCACAATCGTTCAAGCCTTTCAGTTTTACACCCACTACAGTTGGCCTATTAGGCTTTAATGACACCATGTTAAGTGTCAGTAATGAATAGGCAAGTAATTAACACTAGCAAGGCAGAAAACATGCTTCTATTTATTTATTTATTTACTGGGCTCCATCCAATGGTAAAGCAGCCTTCATGGGTGAATGGCTGGAGGGGACTTGTCCCAGGCCTTTGTCAGCACTGGGGAATTCACGCCAGCGGTGAAGCTGCAGCAGTGCAGAAACTCCCAGGAGTGGGCAGGTGAAGCTGCTCTAAGCTGCAGTTTGTGTCACTGTGACTTAGGGCTGCTTAAAGCTGCTTGCACCCCTCTGCTGAAAGGGTCTCAAAACTATGGGCAAAAAAAACTCCACAACCTGCTGCTCTAACGTCTGTTTTGTTTTGTTTAGCAACACCGTGCATCAAAGCAATCAGCCCAAGCGAAGGCTGGACTACAGGTGGAGCAATGGTGATCATTATTGGAGACAACTTCTTTGATGGGCTGCAAGTTGTGTTTGGAACCATGCTTGTATGGAGTGAGGTAGGTAGAGCTGCCTCCTGATTGCGAAACTGAAGAAACACTCCTTTTCTGAGGACAGTGAAGCGGGACCGGTGTTGATTCCCATTCCAATAATGGTACAGAAATGATGGCGTGTAGGGCAGGCCATCCAAACCTGTGTGAAGGAAATTCACAGAATGTGTTTAGTCTGTGGAACTCCTTACTATATGATATTATTGAGGCCAACTGCTCAATGATATCCAGAATGGAACTGAACAATTCTAGGCGTCTGGAGACAAGTAAAGGTAAAGAAATGAAGAACAGGTTAGAGTTTGGGAAGGAGAAAAAATTCCCTCTGGGTTCAGAAATAAGCCAGCAATTAACCAATGGCCATAAACAGTACAATCATCCTCATGAAAATTCATCCTAAAAGGTGTCCTCCTCTCCTGGGGCAAGAAACTAGAGCAGATGTATCACTTGCCTGATCTATAGTGTCTCCTATATAGGAATAAGCAATGCATTTACTCATAAAGCATGTTTGGAGGGTGAAAAGTGAAAGCAGAGTCATCATCGTGCCTCTCCTTTTGTTATTTCCCAGCTTATCACGCCTCATGCCATCCGAGTTCAGACACCTCCACGTCACATTCCCGGAGTGGTCGAAGTGACATTATCGTACAAATCCAAACAGTTTTGCAAAGGTGCACCGGGCAGGTTTATTTACACAGGTAGGTGACTGGATTTACGCTGGAGGAGCTGAGCTCAGAGCCTCCTTGTCTTGGTAAGCAGTATAGACAACTCTCTGCCTGCTTGCTTGAGCCCGTTGCTGTCTGAAGGCCACTCTGCTAGTTGTGACGTTTGGACATGAAAGGAGAGAGCTTCATTTTTGTGCAGAGGTGCTAAGGCACTGTTACTACACATGTTAATATTTTTTCCAGATTAGAGCTCACGCTGTTCTGATATGGGTCTGCCTATAGATGTATTGAGTGTACAGGAACATGATAGCATTGTTCTACATACTGGGAGATGTTTTATTTATACCAGTATTTTACATTTCTCTCTCGCTGGGTGTAACCTTTCATTTTCAAGGTAATCCCAGAGGGCAAGGAGAGCATCTTGTATCAAGAGATGCCAATGAGCTGAGTGGAAAAGAAATCTGTTGGATGTTTTTATTCTTAAATGGATTATCAACTTATTTAGTGTCCTGTCTTCACTTCTGCTAGCAGAACATTATCTATAGATCTGAAAGAAAAAAACCAGATGAGACCAGTTGTTCATCTCATTGAACTGCCAGTACCAGTAGTAACAAGGATGGCATACAGCATATACAATAATGTTTCTGTAGCCTGTTACATATGGCTGGAGAATAATGGTGTGCTGAGTTCTGAGGAGTGGATTTATATTGAAGTTGAATGACTTGCTCCCACCAAATCATACACAGATTTCTCCAAATGGAAGGATTTATTTAATGTTTAAAAGCCTCTTACTACAACAATCATCATTAAACAGTCTTTGTGTATTATATTCAACACACTTGAAATAATAATTTAACTAAAGTAATAATGAAGGTCCAATAATTTTTTTATTACAAATTTTAAGGTAAAAACTACCTGTTGAGTGGAGTGTTAGAATTTTTCTAAAAGTGGAAAAACTCGAATGAAAATCTGATACTGTAGAACTTTAGAAAGAACCGATGATTTGTGAAGATCCTGTTGCTGTGTTACGCTGTTCCGTATACCCTTCATTAGCACACATGCTAAATTAGTATCCAGTTATGTGCGTGTAAAGGTATTTGTACAACTGCCACACCCAGAAACCTGCAGCAAGAAGTAAATCTTCAGTTATTCTAGACACTCGAATAAAACATAAGCTGAACTGACAAAGGGTTCTTTTTGTTGTGATAGAGGTCTGATCCACGGTTAATTGAAGATGCTGAAATGATATCCATTGACTGAAGCTGACTTTGAATCTGTCTCAATGAGATTAGGACTTTCTTCTGATTTTGCACCAAAATAACCCTAGTGCAGTGCAAAGTCATTCTGGAATTATTCCTGGGCTCGTGAGATCAGGATCTGGCCAAAAGCTTTTGAAGCACATTTTCTTCCAAGGCAGTTCCCAGGCTTTTTCTTTGGGAAAAGATGAATCTGATGTCTGAGCAGGTTAAACCTATCTCCTTTTCCTGAGAAATAACTGGCAAAGCCATCAAGCAGGTTAATGTTTCAAATGTGCATGCAAATAGAATCGTGTTTCTAGAGAGATGGGACAGGTTAACTCACCGGAGTCTGGCATTCCTTAAGCAAAGGAACAGTCTCCCTGATCCATGTGCAGTATGGGGCCTGTAGGGGCTGCACTAGGTAACACCTGATGCGTTCACCTTCAGAGAGAGAGACTGTTAATTCTTCAGTTATTATTACAGATTGCAGTGTGAAGTTCTTCTGTGCCATTTTCTGCTTCTTGAGGCCTTGATCTCAGTGTCTTCAACACGAGAATTACTGAGGGCCACCGGCCGTGTGCTGTTGGATCCTGTGCTGAAAGAGGTTTAGGAATGGAGTGATGGAGAGACGTGTAATAAGAATGTGCGTTCCTCTATGAAGAAAAGTCTTATTGTAAAGCTGTTGTAAGTGCAAGACTGACTTGTACCATCTAGGAGGGACTTGAATCAGACTGCAGTGCCGTTCTCGGACATGTTGATTAGAGTGCTTCCACAAAAAAGGACATGAAGGTGTATGTGGGAGCCAGCAGAAGAGAAGAAAGTTAAATATACTATCCCTCTTTTACTGCTGTTATTGGCAGAGGGATCTCTGTTAGCATTCTCTGAGGAGTGAGTGGGTGCTTACTGCCATATGTTACAAAACAGCATTTCGCAGAAGATGCCGAGCTGTTAGAGAGAGGGTAGAACAGACAACTTTTCAATCTGTCTGTTCAAGAACCTGCAGTTCTCCCACCATGGCAGGCAAAATGATAAACACAGCTATTAGGTAGAAGCTCACCTGTGTAATCAATTCCCCCAGGTTGTTGCTGCTAATAGCAGTAAAAACAACTTCTAAGCTATGAAAATAACATGGTGGCTTTTTTTTTTTTTCTTGTCGCGGCTGTGCTATCAGAAAACTGCTGTGATCCTGCTGTGAACAAATGCATTGATTTATAACCTAGGCAGTTAGGGTCCTTCTGCCTGTAAGTCTTCTTCAGACCTTTCACCATAACTTTTGGACCTCTTGGCCACTTTCTGTCAGATTTTGTCAGAAAGGTAGGAGCATCGAAGATGCACAGTCCCAGCGCATTTTTGTGAAAATGGTAGGAGGGATGTGAATTAATCCTCAACTGAAAGAAAGGGTGAAGAGCTCAACCATGTTATTAGACAGCAGAGAAGCTACCAGAAAATAACCTCAAGAAACCAGGTTGTTTAAATGCCATTGTCCCAAGAATGCCTGTGTGTATCCGTAGCACTCTGTAAAATATGCTCCGTAGCAGCACAGAAGTGCAGCTATTTGCTGGGTAGAGTGTGGCAGACAAATACATAAAACACTCAGGAAAGTTCAATGGATTTTACAATTATTGGTAAAGCAGTCCTGTGCATCATAACGAAATTCTGGGATTTTGTCATGCTCGCTGAAGTTTGTTATTTTCTGCATACTTTTAGGACTTTATATTGCAATATATTCCTCTGAGCTGTCACACAGTTTATGGATAACAGATCAGAGAATGCAATAGGGTGGGAGATGCAGATAAGACCACTTTCCTCTCGAATTGTAGTTCCTTTTATAAATGAGAATTTCTCCTCTGAATACCTCCCCTTTACATCCGGCCTGCCAAAAACCTAAGAAATGCAGAGACATTAACGTCAAGCCCAGGAGACTGAAAAGTGTGAAATCCTGCCAACTAAAAGCACGGGAAGATGTAGTTCTGTCAGAACTAATAACAGCAGCAACAACTACCAGCCCTGGTACTATCAGGGTCATGTTGTATTAAGTCCTTCATAATTATTAAGTGCTGAGATACAACTCGAGATGAGAAGCACGAAGGGTCAAGTCATATGAAAAATACTGAGTAGCTGGCTATAGGTACTTCACAGGTATAACAAGAATAATTATCCGTATAAAACCAGACCTCAGAGGGTTCATCAGGGCCTCACTGCATCAGGCATGGGCAACCAGTTACAGACAGACACGTGCTTCCATTTTATACATGAGATATTGCCACAGAAGGATGAAGAAAGATTAACCACTTTACTAGTTGAACAGGGAAGCTAAAGATAGACAGGGAAATAGATCTCTCAGGTTCTAGTCTTATCCTGTAATCATCAGAACACCAATAATCTTCTAAAACACGGAAGCAGAAAAACAATGATCTTGGTTGGTGTTGTGTGTATCTGCCTATGCCCTCAATATTTAATATACAATCAAATATTAATGTTTGACCTGATTATACTTGAGCTTTTTTCTTTTATTTTTTTTAAAGAGTCAGAACAAAACAGGTTGTTTGAAGAAGAAAATGCTAAACTGTTAAAAAGATGAATATAAAAATTAGATATAAATTTCAAGGGTAAATGTCACTGCCGCAGTGGAGCTGTTCTGGGAGCTCCTACACGTCCTGTGGGGTGTGTGTGTACCGGGCTCCTCGCAGAGCGCGGCGCTGGCATCGCCGCCGTTACGGGGCTGCCAGCCATCATTCAGGGGGCTGCAACTCAGCCATCAAATCCCTCTCGTCGCCAAAATGTGATGTGTGGACTTTTCCATGAGATTCCCAGGTGGAAAACTTTTAGAAGAGTGAAGCCAACAGGATTCTACGGACATCTAGCAGTATGCCACAGAGTACAGCGCACATCTAGAGAAGTGCCTCGTTTGATGTTAATGGCAGTTGCCCAACCCATTTACATACTTTAGTAGCTAAGTATACACTTAGAGATAAAAAGTCTATTTTTAATTCACCACAGCTAAACATTTAGTCCCCACGTGTACCTTAATCTGGTGAGAATACAGGTTACACGTACATCTCCATGTTCTGAATTACTTTTCTTTCATCAGCTGTTCCTAGAATCATAAAACATTTGTTCTCCGCTGCTAATCTAGCAGTAGCCTCATATTCTGCGTTTAATACTGCACAAATTCAAATTCTCTGCTGCTGTAAGTAGTTCCATTATAGTTCCCTTGACTTTAATAACACTTACATCAGTTTATACCAGCTGAGGATGTGTCTCGTAGGCTTTCATATCTTAAGTTTGATCACAGCTCTGGATTTACTTTGTCATAGAGATGCTAACCTGGGAACGTGTATATCGGGAGATTTTGAACATAATTTTCCTCACTGAGCAGAAATCCTCCAGGGGTTAACTTGTCAGAGCAATGCAATATAAAATAATCTGCAGGATATGTTGGACTCCGGGGTTGTACTGTGTCAGTGTCTGTGCCAGGTACCACAGGCAGGAGGTACTGGTTTGCTGAAGCTTGTAAGTAGATTTGAGAAGGTCTTGTTACCTGCTTGTGGGAAACAAGGATGTTGTCTTGTGTCACTTACAAGGATGCCGAGAGCTCTGCAGATTGGAAGAACGAGTTCACTTGGCCAGAGTGCAACTCGTGTGCCGGAGCATTTGCGGAGAGCAGCTCCTGCCACTGCTTTAGCCTGGCAAAGATACGTGCAATAGGAGACAACGCTGGGCTGGTAGTAGGGTGTTTGGAACAGCTGTTACCAACATAGCACATGTAACACCAGACCCCTGCTGTCCACTTCTAGCAGCATCCTTCCAACTCTAGGCCCCAACGTACCCTCGGAGCAGTGTGTATGTACCTCCTGCTCCCAGGATTAGCGTGGTGCTAGCAAGCCAGCGTCTGTAGCTGGCGACACGGGAACATTTTATTCTGTAGGGTGAA